ACATGATTATAGCAATCTTGTATTTGTAAGATAGAAGCTTTTGTACCGAATAAAATCAGTTCTGGCACAGAAATTCCTTTACTTTGTGATAACTCACTATAATTTGTGACTTGAAATACCCTTTTAATGTTAGTAGACGATTCCCAAGTGGCACTGTTGAATGACAAATGAAAGACCATCCTGGCCTTGAAGGGGCTTCATTCTGAAAATAACAAAGAACGCCTTGATCAGTTTTATGCAGACATGATTTATCTGACTGGTAAACCTGAGATCAGAGTCTAAAAAAGTATCACCGGATTGGAAATATATGCCGTTGTCACTAAAAGTATGATCTGATAATTACAAATTAATTAAAAAATGTATAAATGTTGTTTTGTAATTCAATATAATGGGATTTTTTTACGCAAAGGCTCCATCTGAGGCATAACGCTATTTTCCCACTTTAATCTCTCCTGGAGACTGCCAATACTCTAATACAGATGCACCAAGTGCAAACACTTTTCCTGCTTTTACCTGTTTGGGGAGATCATTCGCAAACAAACTAAAATGAATGGTCCCAGCACTGAGCCTTGTAGGACGCCAAATGATACAAGAAATATTTTACTTTCATACTCATAGGATAAATTATTTAAATGTGCCGTAGTGAACCCAAGTTTCACTTCACACATATTTAAATTCTCTGGAAGATAGTTATTTATCTTCTAGGGTAGATCTTTCCTAAAAAGCGTTCGTTGGTGCAACTAAAACTAACTTACTTCATCAAATATTGACCTCTTGTCAGTTATTGTGAATTATCAGCAATATAATATAATAATAATATAATAAGTTTATTCACTCAACATACAAATATAACTAAAAACTAACATAGGTATACGTAAATAAACTGAATTTACCCACAGAAGAATAAATTCTTGTACGTGGGTATTAACTTAAATTTTTACATAAATATACACATATACCTGTATATATATATATATATATATATATATATTCATATAAATAAACACATAGATGGATGCACATACACATATATACATATGCAGATACATATGTACACATACATATATACATATACACACATGTATACACCTGTACATACATATATACATACACACATATACGAGGATATGGACGTTGGAGGGTTTTTACTATTACAATAATTTTAAATTTCTTTCAAACGTATCATTTTTTTTGCAATTTGATGTCGATTTTTTTCAATTATAAATTTTTTGGTTTCAATTTTGAAATATTTCTTATATAATTTGGTAATATGTTATATAATCTACTGGAAAGATAAGTATGACATCTTTGACCTCTACTTTTTGAGGTGAAATGTGTTAATGTGCTTAATGTTGTTGATTTTGTTTCTAGTTTGGTATAAGTGATTTAATGGAATAAGATTATTTCTATGGTGAAATTGATAATTTAAAATTTTATAAAATTTTTTTGCCTAGAATCTAATAATTTTGCTTCAGAATAGAACAGATCAGATGGGTATAAGAGTGGTTTGTCAAGAATTATATTTAAAAATCGTTTTTGGATAATTTCCAATTTATTAATTTGGTTATTAATTGCTCCCCCAACCTAATATTGCGTAACTTATTCGACTTTCGATCATAGCATGATATAACATTTTCATTGTTTTTTTATCACAATATTTGTTTAGATACTTGAATTTAAACAATAAAGTGCCCAAATTGGTTATTACATGATCAATATGTATATTCCACTTTAAATGTGAGTCTAAATGTACACCTAAATATTTTATTTTGTTTGTTAAATTTATTTGAGTATTGATATTATCACAGTTAACCTGTACAGACAGAAAGAATGGTAATTTGTTTCTGTAATTTGTGAATGGCATGAACATAGTCTTTTGAAAGTGAATAGTTAGGCATTTATGTCTGAACCAGTCTGCAATTATTGTTAAGTCTCTTTCAACCTTCACTTTTAGATCATCCCACGAGTTGCTATCCGGATATATGATAGCAGTATCGTTTGCAAAATATATGAATGTCCCTTCAGATGTTAAGCTCAGCAAGCTGTTAATGTAAAGTGTAAATAATAAAGGTCCTAACACTGTCCCTTGTGGGACGCCATACGTTATCAATTTGTTTCTGCTTAAGGAATTATTTATTTGTACGCATTGTGTACTGTTGGAAAGGTAACTTTTCATGAGGCTATAGGACTTGCCTCTAACATCTCAGTCGTGTAAGATTTCTAATAGTAGCAAGTGGTCTACTGTCTCGAATGCTTTTGCTAGATCTAAAAACACACACAAGGTATATTCACTTTGGTCTAGTAATTTGTATAATTTTGATGTCAAAAAAGAAATTGCGTCTTGGGTAGATTTGTTTTTCTGGAATCCAAATTGTTTTTCGTTAATCAGATTATGTTTATAAAAAATATTTAGAAGTCGTATTTTTATAATTTTATCGATATGAAATGAGATATTATGAGGAGGATTACGTCATATCAGCGCATTAACAACCTCTACAAGATATCAGTATCTACCATGTCGCACTTACATTACAGGTCTTCACTATACAAACGGTATTTCCAAATCTGAATACAGAAGCAAGTAAATTCAATTTATCCATTAATCCGGAAGATCTATAATTGATAGATATTGAATTCGTCACGACAACTCATAGTAAAATAAATATGTAATAACTGAACAGCTACATGTACATACATATTATCTAAGAATTCATAAAATTTTCACATGCAAGCCTGGTATAGCAGTGACAGAATAAATAAACTACAAACAAGTACTGAAATTAAGGAACTGTGTGGAGTAAAATGCACAATCCCGTAAGCAGTTCTTGAGATCGCACATCTTTTTCAATTGAGACATAGACATCGGCAATCAATTGAGGTGTTTGGGACCCATGTAAAAGGGTCATTTCGACGTAATGTGATTGTTCTCAAGGAGTTGCAGGGCAGAATTTCCTTCATACAGTTCGGATTTGCTTTGAACATTCATTTATCTAAAGCGACGATAGTATTAAAATCCCATGTTTCTTAAAAACCGGCCTATATCACTCCAAATTTCTAAATCATTTCCATCTCAAGCCTAGCGTTGGCGACAACTTAGAGTCCTCCATAGTATATTTGCTGGGTGCCCGATAAGCATTTGAATCGAACGGGGAAAGAAATATGCGGTGCAAGTGGAAATAGAGGGGATTGTGATAAATTTGTGTACGGGTTAAAAAAGTCATGATAGTATATTTTGTCGTTACATATTTTATAACATCACAGCTTATCAGTGGTGAAGATGCCCTATTTTAGAAGGGTCGATAGATCTGAATATCTAACTTCTATTTTGATAGTGGTAAGTAGAGAAGTTGAACATTCTAGCTACATGAGGTCAAAAATGGTCACCTGTGAGGATCCTGAACACTCTGTCTTAATCTTGAATTTTTGGATTGATATATACGGATTTCATGATTATTATTTTATTAGAAATTCTAAATGGTCAACATAACATAAAAATTAACTAAATATTTAACTTCGATCAAGACTGTGTCGCTGGAGATGTATGTTAAATGAAATTTCAATCTTATCTTTCATGTATTATTTTTCAGAATGGACCATACATAATATTTTGCCTCTAAATGGCTGGAAACTATAGTTCCTCGATTTTTTCCCGTGACCATGCACATAAAGCTTTATATTTTCACCCTGAGAATTCAAAACAATACAATATTTATGGGTGTTTATAAACTTATCGTTATGGTGGGTCTCAAAACTATTATCAAAATATGTACCCCTTAAGGAGCTTGAAAGTAGTGGCAGCGTACATTTCTGAAGTGAATACGTAAAACTTCATTTTTGTTTTTTGTGTCTTTCACAGCGTAAAAAATACCTCCATCATTTATGAGTCGAGGAATGTGGGAACCGCTACAAATATACTCAGTGACATTAGAAATGTTACACCCATTATGTTGCCAGAAAAACAAGTTGAAGAAATTATTTTTTCTGGCTGTAACACTTCTCTTTTTTTGTAGTCCAACTACCACGAAGGCCTAAGGCCTAAACACCCATTGGGTACCGTGGGGCTATAGAGGGATACGGGGAAACGCCACACGGACTCTGGCGAGGGAACACGTGTGCATGCAGCATGCAAACATTCTGGCTCCGCCTACGAGATCCGCCGGGTGGTACCTCCGCGTTTGACAGTCAGAGACCGTCTACCACCTACGGACAATCACATCATCCATAGCCAAGAGAAAAATTTCTCCTGGAACGGGATTCGAACCCGCACAGCGCGCGGCGACTGATCAGGAGACCGAAGAGTCTACTACTGCGGCCGCCGCTGCTGCCTAAAAAGCGGTGTCACTGAGTATAGTTTAAAAAGTGTTTCAGTTGAGCAGTCATACACATAATGTCTTCATGGAACTTCATTTCGATCTCTGCTGGTGAGCTGAAGAAAAGAAAACAAGCAGCGACCTCCTCTGTGACGAGAGTCCTGGAGGTCATCACAAGCCATAGCAAACATTTCTTCATCATTGAAATGTTTCACACTCTGTACGTTCATGTAAATTATATACTTGTTTTCAAATTTTGGAATAAACAAACTGTCATATGATCAAGCGGTTCATCCATAATTTGGACTCTCCCCATACAAAATCCGTCGTCATTAAAAATATGATCAGCATCTTTCTCCCTTCACGCCCCCTCCGCTCCTCTTACATACGCCACTGATGCAATTCGCTCCTGGCAACCAGAAAGCTCAACAGTCGTAACAGAATAAACAATTATGTAGTATCTAGTTTCGTAAAACTTATTCAAAGCACGTGTCAGAAAACAAATAGCCTTAGCTCTATCGTCTAATAAGCGACACCCTGACACTGGAGATTGCAACTATGTGCTACATAGTTGGTCGGTCGATTCAACGCGATGGTGCACCGTGCAACTCCATGCCACGGCAACCGTGCCGTGCCGGTCGGAAACCAAATTTTCGTGTCTTTTCGTCGAAAACAAACTTCTAAACTAACTTCGAGGCGACTCGACAGGGCGGCGGGGCTTGGCGCTGCTGATGGCGTTTCCCCCTTCCATTTTAATGAACAAAGCTGGCAATAATCCAGTAAAATGAGAAAAACGGGATGCCGACGGGATAGTTATCGAGGAGTTACTTTGTTTTAGAGAGTGGAGGATTGAGACAATCCAAAGGGATTTCCTATACCACTGGGAGAAGATCCGACACAATCCATTTATTTATTTATTTAAACTATCCGTACGGTTTATTACACCATTTAACGGATAGGGACACACGAATCAATTTTAAGACAAAATTGTTGTAAAATAACTTAAAATTGCCAAATGAGTTGACCTACTGTTATGCAAAAACCTTGTCAAGGTAAGCAAATTACAAAAGAACAAATCTACAGCTTTTCTTGCACGTTCATAGTTGTTACATACTGCATATATCGGAGAGGAAAGCAACGCATTGGTTCTAGCTACGTTTAAGTAAAAGTATTTGAAAGTGGATCGCGTCTTAGCATTAGGTACATAAATAAGAAGCTTACCGAGTAAATATTCACAACCTATGGCATTATTAAGCATTTTATATAAAAATACACAAGCAGCGTAGCTTCTGCGCTTCTCCAAGTTACATAGGTTATATCTGCTAAGTAATACATCATGCCTAAAGGCAACTTCTGGATACGTACCATCTTCCTTGTGCAACAAATATTTTACAAACCGCCTCTGAATACGTTCAATTTTATTCGAGTGAACTTCATGAACAGGATACCATATTACAGAGCAGTATTCAATTTTGGATCGAACAAATGAATTATATAACGGGATCATGGTATATACATTATTGAAATCCCTACAATTCCTGATTATGAAGCCCAAACTTTTATAGGCATTGCTAACAACAGCATCAATATGCGAATCAAATGTATGTTTCGTATCAAAGAATATACTCTTCACACATGTTAAGTTGCGAACTATCAGTGTTATATATGAATCTGATTGCAACAAGTTTGCGCGTAATATACATAGTGTAGAATTTATCAGCATTAAGGTACAGCTTATTACGGTGACACCACTTATTTAGGTTGCTCAAGGCGTCTTGCAATAGATTACAGTCGTCCATGGTTTCAATTTTACAAAAAATCTTCAAGTCATCTGCATATAGAAGACAGCTACTTTGTAGCTCTCCAACGTCATCAATGAAAATTTGGAAAAGCAAAGGGCCAAGAGCAGACCCTTGAGGTAGGCCGGAAGAAGGTATAATCTGAGTGCAGGTGAAGCCCCTGTATTCGACTTTCAAGCATCTGTTTGTAAGATAAGATTTGAAAAAATTCAAGAATTCTATGGTGAACCCTCGCGTAGCTAATTTCTTTAACAAAATACCGTGATCTAGCTTATCGAAAGCCTTTGAAAAGTCAACGTAAGCAACATCTACTTGCCCCCCTTCATCAACAACTCCAAAGAAAGTACAAGGCACCATTCTTATGGGAAGAATCATTGCGATGGATTTGCTTCAAACTTTGGGTTGTGGTTTTCCAAAGGATGCTGATCAAATGTTCTCATTGCACCGTCTCAACTTAAAGCTATATAGAATGTCCAGACGATCGAAAAATCGATCGCTTTTTACTTACTACTCCACTGGCGAGGAAGTAGTTAGATCGTGAAAAATTTCTAAAATGACATTATGTTTTTTGGATGTTATGTGATATGTACATTATGAAAAACCATCTTACTCATTACCGTTGGTCTGTCTGTTGGTCTATCTGTCCGCTGATCGTTGGCGTGACTAGAAAGTAGTATTTTGATGAGTGTATAATGCATTGAGTGGATTATGAGGTTGATTAGGATTTTTTATACTTGTACCTAAGGCGGAAAGCCACGAACTCTAGCGAGGGAACACGACGGGTGGTACCTCCGCGTTTGACAGTCAGAGACCATCAATCACAACATCCATAACAAGAAAAAAAATTTCTTAGGACGGAATTTGAGCCCATACAGCAGTAGACTCATAACGTCTACCACTACGCCATTATGATTATGACACCCGATGGATCATTAGCTAGTGAAATAGCATTTACAGTAGTTAGCACATTTTCGCAAAATCGTATAGCCTAAGCGCTAATATTAGTCAGCTACTACTCGTCGTTGCTTCTCAAGGCGGTCCGGAGGACCTTAGCCTCTAGGTCACAGTCACTGTAATGTCAGTGTGTGTCGTCAGTCTGTCAGGTCTATTGGCTCAGAAACCAGACAAGTTGTAGAGGAAAGGGGAGAGGGAGAAAGAAAGGAAGGAAGTAGGAGCGAGAAGAGAAAGAAAAGGAATTGTTTTATGTAAATATTTGAGGTGTGATAGATCTAAGAACTGTTACATTGTACTATAAATTTTTGACTTGTTCTGAACTGAATTTTGGGTCTTCGGTTTTTAAAAACTATATCGACTGTGTAATCCACTGCTTCACGCAACAAAGGGTTGCTGTGCGATTCCGCTTGCTGGTAGCGCCGTTGTGTCATACCTGTGATGAAATCCCTAAGGTAGGGGATGTCAAGATCTCTATGGATGGAATCGTTTGATACATATCATGGGGCATTAGTTATTGTTCTGAGAGTTCTACTCAGCAGAACTTGTAGTTTACGCATATGTGAGTTAGCTAAAAAGCACCCAGCCGCACATGCGTAGGTCTGACGATGGTTTTGTATATCTCAATCTTGTTGACCAAACTCAATTTTGATGTTCTACATAAAAGAGGATACAATTGCCGAAATGTAATTTGGAATTTAATTTTCAGTTGTTCAATGTGTGACTGCCAAGTCATACAGTTGTCGAGTGTAAGACCTAAGTATTTGGCTTTTTTAGCCCATGGTATCGAAACATCATCCACAGTAATCTCTTACGGGGCACCACGGTGCTTTTTTGTAAAATAGATAGCCTCTGTGTCTTTGAAAAATTAAGTTTGATTAACCACTGATTCGCCCAATCTAAAACCTAGTCCACCGCTTCTAAAAATGATTTTCTACTTTCTAGTTCGGTTAGCTATAAAGGCATGTTTCTTTAGTTTTTTTAAACTATTATTTATTAGCTACAAAACGTTGAACACTTAAGAAAAAAATTGTTATGTTATATCTCAAAAGTACTTTATATATTATTTTTATTTTTGGCGTGATATAAGAGGATATAAAATGACATATTTCAGTGTAGAGTTGCTCTATTGTGTCGTCAGTGGTCTTCCTGTAAATCTTGTCTTGTGATATTTTTTTCAAAATAAGACTAGTACGCCACTGATGTTTTACAAAGTGATTATTTTCTCTAGTTGCCTTGATCATTCCTACATAAAACCCTTCTTCCTATTTTGTCTTAGATATATAGATATGTCATTTTTAATTAAAAGGAAAATTGGTAACGGCTAAAGACAAAAAATAGTCTGGCAAATAGCAGTGGCGTATCGGTATTTTTTGTACATGATATCACAAGAATGTTGGCAGGGACGCCACTGGTAGTACAATAGAATAACTTATACTGAAATATTCCATACCGCATCCTAAAGAATGTGCTAAAATTACAACTAATGTACAAAGTAATTTCGAAGATAAGAGATCAAGACAACCATTTCCTGCAAAATCCAGACCCTGCGGTCATACGTCTTACGTTAGTTTAAAGAGAGAAAGAAATAATATTCAAAGTACAACAATATATAAATGTGTGAATGTCTCTCCAGTTTGTCAACACAACATCCTTTCATATCACTCACATAATAGGTTTTTCTTTAGAAAAAGGATACCATCCTTCACCACTGTGCCTGATTTTAAGAAATACCATACAAGACACAATAGAGATTAAACTTGAAGTAAAATAAAATAACACATAAATCTAAATCAAAACACGTTAACACACACTAAGGAAACGAATGTCAATATGCAGTAAATAAATGCACGGTCGGAACAGCGACTGAACGCTCCCGCGTCCGTCACCTCATGTCAAATTATATTGGGCAGCTTGGGAAGTAGGTTCTGAAACATTTTTCAAAATTATTTTTCGGGATAAAAAGCAGCATATGAGTTATTCAATATAATCTACCTCTATAACAAATTTTATCCAGATCAGTTCGGCGATTTTGACGCGATTGCCTAACAAACATTCACACTTTCTCGTTTATAATAATATAATAAGTGACATATAAATCCGAACACCCAGTTTAAATGGTTTTATTTTAATGAAATTTTGTATAAGTACTTAATGAAGCATAATAAGTAAATGATAAAAATTTCAAAATGATTGCACTGCTTTAAAGCCCTTTGACCTTTAATAATGTGTGGATGCACCCTAATGTACTACGCATTCTCCAACGCGCCTAGGCATGCTTCTGATCAGGTGGTCAATGTCCTCCTGTGGTATCTCATTCCACCAACTCCTCTCGAAGTACTTCTAGAGTCTGAGGAGGACGTTGTAAATTGAGCTATCTCCTACCCATCATATCCCACACGTGCTCAATTGGGGATAAGTCGGGAGATCTTGGTGGCCATGGTAACAATGTGACATCATTATGTTGAAAGAAGTCTATTGTGACTCTTGCAGCATGTGGTCGGGCATTATCTTGTTGGAAAGTTGGATCTGCCAGGGTGTCAAGACAGGATAAAAGATGGGGTTCTAGAACTTCATGGATATAACGCTGCGCGTTCATGTTACCTCTGATGAGGATTAAAGGTAACCTGGAACCATAAGCTATAGCACCCCAAACCATAACTCCAATAGTGTGATGAACATGTCTTTCAACAAAAAACTGTGTATTCCTCCTTTCACCACGTCGCCTTCTAACCCTGGCACGACCATCGTGCATGCCTAAACAAAATCGAGACTCATCACTAAAGACAATACTGTTCCATTCCTGATCCCAGAGTGACCGTTGTCTGCATCACTCAAGGCGATTACGTCGGTGTTCTAGAGGTAAAGGGATGACCCAGTGTGGCCGGTATGAAAACAAGCCAAAACTTCTCATTCGTCGGTAAACACTTCGCATGCCAACAGGTCTTCCGTGTTCTGCAAACCATTCATTTGCAATGGACCTGGTAGTGGAGAAACGGTC